CTGCATTTGTTTATTCATTCTGAACTTTTGGAATAAACTTTTTTGTTTACTTATTCTTTAGAACGTTCATTTCATCAAATTTCAAATCTCCCTGTAACTTCAAAAAATAAAACCTGTGCACATCTATGTAGAATCCCAGTTCTTTAATTTGACTTCTCCTTTTGGAAATTCGAAATAACGGTGCAGATGTGATAACCTTAAAAAAAAAAATGACAACTCGAATTAAAAATATTATCAGCCTATAGTTTTCTTAAAACTCTTTCGTTTGACACTAATATTTCGATATTTCATATAGGTATCTTTCGTATAAGTAAAACAAATTCGACTTTTCAAACAGGTGGCAACCCCTTTAAAAGTATTTTCAAACTAAAATCTTTCGCCTGGCATTGTTATACATATTTCAATTAACTGATGAATTAAGTTGAATTTAATTTTTTTAAGTACATGGCGACTTTCCTAAATACAGTTTAGAAATAAATTATTTTCAAACTCATTTCGATTGATATCCATCTTTTGACAATCCATTTAACTTATTAAATAATTTGAGCTTAATTTTTTCAACAAAAAAAAAACAGATATTCAATTTAAATATTTCTTAACGCTGTCCTTTTGATAACCATATTTTAAAGATTCATGTAACTTATGTATAAATAAACGAAATATTACTTTCAACCCTATTACAAATTATTTTCGAACTAAAATTTCCTTAAATATTTTTCGTCTGGCATTGTTATAAATATTTCAAGTAACTGATGAATTAAGTGGAAATTTATATTTTAAACACGTGGCGACCCTCCTAAATAAAGTTCTTAAATAAAGGATTTTAAACCCATTTCCATTGATAACCATCGGTTAGTAATTCATTTAACTTATTAAATAATTTTAGTTTAGCCCTTTAAACTGGGGCAACCCTCAAACACATCAAAAATGTTCTAAATTGTCAAACTAGGTTGGGGTATTCACAACGGTGTCGTAAGTGTCGTATTGTTGTATGCCGTAAACTTTACACGCCTAAAAAATATATTAAGGGGGCCCGCAAAGTACCATCGAAGTCATATTTTGAATTTTCGCAGTGTTAAGAAGTAGTTGGTTGTGGTTTCAAGTTCTCTAAGCATTTATTTATGCTTGTAAAGTTTACGACATACAACAATACGACACTTACGACACCGTTGTGAATCCACCAATAATTTCTTGAAGCTCTTTCATTTGACATCCATCGTTAATATTTTATATAACTTGGGTATAAAATAGTTCAATTAGGCTTCTCAATAGGTGGCTCTCCCTATTCAAAATATTTCCAAACTACTATTTTCTTAAACCTCTTTTGTATGACACCCATATAGCGATACCTTATTCACTTACCAAATTCTTTAATTAAAATTGAATTAAATTTTTTTTTAACATGATGCAACCCTCCTATACGTAGTTAAGTTATAAAGCCTTTCCAAAACCATTTCGATTGATACCCATATTTAATAATTGATTTAACTTTTTAATTAATTTTAGCTTAATTTCTTAAGAGGTGGCAACTTTTTTCGACAAAGTAAAACCTTCTTGAACATCCACACCCTAAGCCCTTTAATTTGGTACCTCGCTGTTGAAAATCGAACGGCCGGTGCGGATCTGAGGGCATTGATTAGTAAATAACTTGAGTTTAATTATTTAACAGGTGGCAACTCCTTTGGGAAAAATAAAACCAGTTTGCACATCTACAGGCCAAGCGCTTTAATTTGACGTTTTTTAAAATCGAACGAACGGTGCAGATCTTTTATGTTGCACAAAAAATGCCTTCGCGTATTATATATATAGATTTCATGCTCATACAATATACAGTATTGGCCAATACAATAGCACCCCCATTTCAAAGTGATATTGTTTGCCACTCATGTTTATTTATTTATTTTTAAGAATTTTCAATTAAAATACAGTTCATTCTCTCACAAAACTCATATAAACTCAAGTTTAAAACTTTTTAAAAGACCGCCAAAAAGTGCAACACATTTTCACCCGAATTTCAAACTTTTTTCTCAGAAGCGGTAGAATTTTTTTGAATACACAGTTTTATAGCCCATTCAATTATAGTCCAATAATGTGCAAGTTTCAAGTGGCTAAAAATTACCGTTGATTTTTTTTAATTTCTTTCGCCGAAGATGTTGCGGGTTTCTGCCATATAAAAATAAATAGTGTTTAGTCGTGTGAGACAAAAAAAATTCTAAAAAATCAACGGTAATCATAGCGACTTGAAACTTGCACATTATTGGACTCAAATTGAATGCGCTATAAAACTGTGACTCAAAAAAAATCTAGAGCTTCTGAGAAAAAAGTTTGAAATATAAGTGAAAGTTTGTTGCACTTTTTTGAGGTCTTTTACTACTACTAAATTTTATTTATTTTCTTCAGATCCTGAATTATAAAAGATTTGAGAAATTAAAATAAATAAAAGATCATAGACAATAACAATAAATGTTGTGTGTCTGCATTGCACTTAGAACTAAACAANGACAAAGTAAAACCTTCTTGAACATCCACACCCTAAGCCCTTTAATTTGGTACCTCGCTGTTGAAAATCGAACGGCCGGTGCGGATCTGAGGGCATTGATTAGTAAATAACTTGAGTTTAATTATTTAACAGGTGGCAACTCCTTTGGGAAAAATAAAACCAGTTTGCACATCTACAGGCCAAGCGCTTTAATTTGACGTTTTTTAAAATCGAACGAACGGTGCAGATCTTTTATGTTGCACAAAAAATGCCTTCGCGTATTATATATATAGATTTCATGCTCATACAATATACAGTATTGGCCAATACAATAGCACCCCCATTTCAAAGTGATATTGTTTGCCACTCATGTTTATTTATTTATTTTTAAGAATTTTCAATTAAAATACAGTTCATTCTCTCACAAAACTCATATAAACTCAAGTTTAAAACTTTTTAAAAGACCGCCAAAAAGTGCAACACATTTTCACCCGAATTTCAAACTTTTTTCTCAGAAGCGGTAGAATTTTTTTGAATACACAGTTTTATAGCCCATTCAATTATAGTCCAATAATGTGCAAGTTTCAAGTGGCTAAAAATTACCGTTGATTTTTTTTAATTTCTTTCGCCGAAGATGTTGCGGGTTTCTGCCATATAAAAATAAATAGTGTTTAGTCGTGTGAGACAAAAAAAATTCTAAAAAATCAACGGTAATCATAGCGACTTGAAACTTGCACATTATTGGACTCAAATTGAATGCGCTATAAAACTGTGACTCAAAAAAAATCTAGAGCTTCTGAGAAAAAAGTTTGAAATATAAGTGAAAGTTTGTTGCACTTTTTTGAGGTCTTTTACTACTACTAAATTTTATTTATTTTCTTCAGATCCTGAATTATAAAAGATTTGAGAAATTAAAATAAATAAAAGATCATAGACAATAACAATAAATGTTGTGTGTCTGCATTGCACTTAGAACTAAACAATATTATATATATATATATATATAAATAATTTTTTTTTAAAGTTTAAAACATGGGTTTATATGGGATTTGTTAGAGAATGAACTGTATTTTAATAGAAAATTCTTAAAAATAAATAATTAAACATAAGTGGCAAACAATATCGCTNAATAATTTTTTTTTTAAGTTTAAAACATGGGTTTATATGGGATTTGTTAGAGAATGAACTGTATTTTAATAGAAAATTCTTAAAAATAAATAATTAAACATAAGTGGCAAACAATATCGCTTTGAAAGGGGGGTGCGATAGATATGTCCAATACTGTACATAGTAAGTATGTACATACCATAATGTAATAAACAGTACATACATACATATATTTTTTTATTGAAATCGAGAAGACGTGGATTTGTGTTATAATATTTATAATAATATAGCCGTAAATATGCATATATGTATTTATGTATGTATGTATGTATGTTAATAACACATCTTTAGGAGTCTTGATACATGCTAATTAAATAGTTATCGTGTAGGTAATAGTTAATCTAAAATAATTATATTAGTCGAGAGTATCAAAAACTAGAGTTCGACCGATTAATCGGCATCGGCATCGGCCTTTTTTATTTTTTCCGCACTTCATTCCATGTTATTTATTTTTTACTTTTTTAATTCCTTTAAATTTTAAAATATTAATGGATCTGAGTTCCCATCATAAATGTGTTCTCATGTTTCGTTTCTATGATGTACGGTGGCGAGAATGTAAGAGGGAAGACACATTTTAGCAAGTTTTGGCTATTTTTCTTTGTTTATTTTCATTATGAAAATATATGAAAATATAGCTTACTATTTAAAAAAAACCGTAAATCAAAATTTCAAACTTTGGGCGTGTGTGAATCGATAACAAAGTTCTGTGGGGGAAAGCTGGTGAATAATATTTTTACTATGGGGAGACAGTTTTGCAGCAGATTGTGTGAAATTAAATCTTTTTTGACAACAGTAAATTGTTGACAACCGCAGAATAAAATATTAGGGGTATTCTCTGAGTCTTGCAAAGCCCTTGCACTGTGCACAGATCGCACGGTAAAACCGGTTTTCGTATGGGAAAACTTTGCAAACCGTGCAATCCGTGCACCGTGCAAGGGCTTTGCAAGACTCAAGAATACCCCTATTATAAAATGAAGTGAAATTCAAATTTTAAGAAAACATCTACCATCATTGATTTCAATTCATCAATTTAAGCTTTTAATCAATTAAAGCGTTTGAAACATTAAATAAATTTATTTACCCGAAATATTTAATGAAAGAAATATTTAATATGTAGTTGGCTCCTTTCTCAAAAACACGTCTTTTCGCTTCGCTTGTTACAATCGAATGAATTTATTATATCGTTAATGTTGCCAGGTTACATGTATTGCCTTTACATGGTAAGTGTTGCCAGATACTTATTTCTAGAATACTTATGTTGTACTACAATATTTATATTCTACTACAGCTCGGCCAACCTGACCTAAATGATCGACCCGATCATTTGCTACACAGCTTATGGCTAGTTGTGTACCGATAGATTCCACTGTGTTTCTTTCAGTCTCAATCGCGTAATCATCCTCCTTCTCTTTGCTCTTCCAGCGTTTTGTGTTACTAGCTTCGATAATGCTATCATAAGGTATTTGGGTGATTTGTCCATTTTCGATATCTTTTATAACGTAACGGTCATTCGGAAGTATTTTATAAACCACGTAAGGTCCCTTAAATTTCGGCAGAAGTTTTTTGTTCACACCTACTGTTGTATCTACGTTTTTAATCACTACAAAATCGCCTTCCTTAAATGTGTTCACCCTTATCCTCTTCTGTTCACTTCGATTCAGATTGTACTCTTGTGTTTTCCCAATATTTACCTCAGCGCTATTACGTATTGCCTCTAAGTCCATCCCCACCGGGCCTGAATTGCAATCGTCTAGATATTCTGTAAGTTTATCAACTATTTCGCCTTATTGATTTACTCCAAATAAAGCTTGACTTGGTGTTACTCCGATTGACCTATTTACTGAGTTATTTAGTGCGAATTCTATTTTGCTTAGTTGTTTTACCCAATCCGCATGGGTAATAGGGTCACTCAGTTTCGCCAGCATACCTACTAAACTTCGATTTACTCTCTCAACTTGCCCGTTTGCTTGCGGTGAGTGTACTGCTACTTTCACGTGTATAATATTTTTATTTTCTAAGTATTCTTGAAATTCCTTTGAAGTAAAACAACTACCTCTATCAGTTATACATCTTTGAGGGCGGCTGTAATATTCAAAGTATTTATTCAGTGCGCAGTTAACTTCTTTGGTACTTGTTGTTAAGACGGGGTGCTTTAATGTGCTTTCGTTTCCACACTAATGACGGAAGTACCTGGCTTCGGGTATTTTGGAATATTGTGCAGTTGTCTAGCGCCAGGCTTATTCGGTGCGGAATACATGATACATTTTATACAGTTTTGCTTAAATAGGTTTATTTTGTTTTTCATATTCGGAAACCAGTAGTTTGCTTTAATTTTTTGATAGCCCTTTTCAACCCCTTGGTGTCCTAACTGTTCGTGGATGGTTCTAATGACTTCTTTTTCCAGCTCCTTAGGAACATATAATTGTAAGATATTCTTGTCGATTTTAAATACTACACCGTTTTCCATAGCAAAATTTTCCATGTTTTCTTTTTCTAGTTTATTCCTTAATTGCACTATATCTCCATCACGGGACTGCAGAATTTGCAGTTGGAAGTCTACATTTTCACTGTCGACTACCGCTATAACATTTTCACAGTCGACCTCGTTTCTGCTAAGCGCATCTACGTGTGGCATTTTTGTACCTGCTCTATGGGCTATTANTGCAGAATTTGCAGTTGGAAGTCTACATTTTCACTGTCGACTACCGCTATAACATTTTCACAGTCGACCACGTTTCTGCTAAGCGCATCTACGTGTAGCATTTTTGTACCTGCTCTATGGGCTATTAAATAATTGAAGTTTTCTAGCTCTAGTGCCCACCTGGCTATTCGACTGTTCACCAATTTTTTATTAAGTGTCAATGTTAGGGAGTTGCAGTCGGTTAATATTTTAAACTTTATTCCTTCTAAGTAAACTCGAAATCTTCGTAATGCATAGACAATGGCCAAGGTCTCCAATTCAAAACTATGGTACCTACTCTCTGCCTCAGATGTTCTTTTAGAAAAGTACGCTGTGGGGTGAAATTTCCCATCATCTTGCCTTTGTAGCAAGATTGCCCCAAAGCCGTGTGCACTTGCGTCGCAGTGTAACTCCGTTTCTCTTTTGTGACAGTATATTGCCAGCACTGGGCTTGAAACTAATGTTTCCTTTAGCGTTTGAAAGGCGTTAACGCAATCATTGTTGAAGTAAAATTTTTGGTTTTTCTTCAATAGATCATACGACGGACGTGCTATTATGGAGAATGATTTCACAAACTTTCTGAAGTATGAGCATAATCCTATAAACGATTGCAGCTCTTTTTGGTTTCTAGGGGTTGGGTAGTTTGTTACGGCTTTTATGTGGGATTCAGAAGGTCGTATACCAAATTCGGATACAGTGTAGCCTAGATACTCTATTTCGTTATAAGCAAATTTGCATTTAATAAGTTTTATCTGAAGGCCATAGTGTGCCAGTTTTTCTAACACTTTTTTAACTAAATCATAATGGTCACTCAAAAATTTATTACCAATTATGATGTCATCCATATATACCATTATCTCATTTCTTTCAATAAACTCTTTCAGAATTTTCGTTATAAATCTTTGGAAAATGGACGGTCCATTCTTTAAACCAAATGGCATTCTTAGAAACTCGTACTGGCCATTTGGTACTACAAACGAAGTGTACTTTATTGAGTCCTCCGCCATTTTTACTTGAAAAAATCCTGACATCAAATCTAAAAGTGTAAAAATTCTATTTTCGCCCAAATATTCCAAACAATCTTCAATTAACGGAAGTGGATAGTTATCCCTCACTATTGATTTATTTAAGTTTCTATAATCAATACGCATTCTAGTCTCGCCTGATTTCTTCTTTGTAAGTACGATAGGCGATGCGTAAGGGGAGTCACTGTGTCGAATAATCTTTTTCTTAAGCAATTCACTTATAATGCGGCTAACTTCGATTTTCTCAGCGAACGATAGGCGTCTCGGTGAGCAGAAGGTCGGAATGTTTGACGTAAGCGTAAGATTGGCCTCATAATCTATATTCGGAAGGTCTTCATTTTGTTTTTGTACGTAAGTATTTTTTATCATAAGCCTTAAGTTATCCGCCCAAGCTGAAGGTAATTTTGGGTTTATGTCAACTAACTCCTTAATCTCCACGCTACTGACTATATTGCATATTTCATTCCACTCTACCTGTATATTTTTCTTTACATTCGAAATAAGTTCCGATTCTTTTAATAATTCAGAGGTACCAATTTTATTAGGTAAAGATGTTTTGCGTTTACATAAGAAAATTTCAAAAACGCTAAGAAAGTCTCTTCCTAGCAATAGCGAAAAAGGTAATTCATTGTCATCTAGTATATAAAGCTTTAATGCTTTTACAATGTTGCGAAATTTAATTAAAACGGAAATTCGCCCTTGAGGTTTAATTCTAGATCTTCCGACGCTTCTCAATTGTGGCGAATTCACTTGAGATCTAAAACACTTCACTACACCTGGAATGTGAGAGGATTGGATGAAGCTATATGGACTGCCGGTGTCGAGCAAAGAGAAAAATTTCAAATATTGAGGAGATTTCCTACGATTTTGACTGAAATCAACCCTTACCATTTCTCTAAAGTATACTGCCTCTCGGTCATCGTTGTCTTCCTCCAGCGCTGCCACCGTCTTCAAAGGACAGTTTTTGTATTGATGCTCCTTTTCTCCGCATTTGAAGCAGGAACCCGGTGTGCGTCGCTTCTCTTTGCAGTCTTTTGAGAAATGCCCATAACGCGAGCAATTATAGCACCTCAACGAAGACTCGGCGCTGTTTGCTGTTGTTCGATTTCTCCCGACGCTGCTGCTGTTTACCAGTCTTTCATATTGCGGAAGTAGTTTTTTTAGTTTTTCCAACGATGTAACTCCACTAAACACTAATATGCTAGTCTTGTCTCTCAGGCCATCGATAATAAGTTCTACCAGCTCGTGCTCTTCTACAGGCGCCGACTGTGCCAACTCCTGCATAGATAATACGAAATGGGTGAGGGTTTCGGATTTTTGCTGCCACACCCGATTCTCCAGCTGACGGAAGACCTCTTTGACACTTAGTGGCTTCTTGAACTCTGTGTTTAGCTTGTTCTTTAGCTCTTGCCATGAGCTGACAGTGGCTATGTGCATGAATATTTGAGCATTTCCTGTAAGTAGACGTCTTGCCACGATTAGTTTTGTTTCTTCATCGCAACCGTACACCTTCGTGGTGCTCTCGAATTCCGTAATCCATTTTTCAATGGTTAGTTTAGCGTCGCAGCTGAAGCTCGGAAGGCTTTTTTCGATTTCACTGAAGTTGACTGGAAAACGGTAGTTAGTTCTACCGTACTCTAGCCGTTTTATTTCTGCTTCTAATTGTAGTATACGTAGGCGCCTTTCCAACTGTGCCTCTATTTCCGTTAGGTCTGCGCCGTCGGCTGCTCGGTTGTAGTGGGCCGCGGGGTTTGCGTCGTTATGCGCAGTCGCCGCCGCGGTCGCTTCGTTGTGCTGTCTAGCTGCGTGGTTGCTGTGGGCCGCATGGTCTGCATAGCCATTTGCAGTGGCCATCACGGTCGCTTTATCGCGCTGGTTGATTGGATAATTGCTGTCGCCCGCGTGGTCTGCATAATTTGTTGCAGTTGCATAATTGGTTGCAATCGCCATCGCGGTCGCTTCTGCGTTCACGTGGGGAACTTCATCGCTTTGTGCCGCGGCGTTTGCGTCGTCGTTTGCAGCCACTGCTGCAGTCGCTGCTTTGCCATCTCTTGCGGTCAGCGTTGCTGCTGATGCTTTACGGTTCTTTTGTGCCGCTACCACAAAATAAAATTTTTATACCCGAGCGCACTTGTGCACAAGGGTATATTAATTTTGTTCACATAACGGTTGTTTGTAACAGCCAAAACGAATCGAGATAGATATAGACAAATGTATACATAAATGATCAG